TGTTAGCGTAGCACACCCGCTTTAAGGACACTGACTGTTATTCAATATATAACAGTGAAAAAAGTGTTTTGTTTTTTTAAATCCAAGCTTTGTGTCACCAGATCTAAGTGGTGGCACTGACTGGGGAAATGGGCACAGTATGCACTGTAAGCCTGACACAGAAGCCGGCAGCAGTGGCAGACAACTGACTGCTATTCAATCTATAACAGTGAAAAAAGTTTTTTGTTTTTAAATCCAAGCTATTGTGACCAGATGTAATTGGTGGCACTGACTGGGGAAATGGGCACAGTATGCACTGTGAGCCTGACACAGAAGCTGGCAGCAGTGGCAGACAACTGACTGCTATTCAATCTATAACAGTGAAAAAAGTTTTTTGTTTTTAAATCCAAGCTATTGTGACACCAGATGTAATTGGTGGCACTGACTGGGGAAATGGGCACTGTGAGCCTGACACAGAAGCTGGCAGCAGTGGCAGACAACTAAGTGCATTTACATTACATAGAAAAATAAAATAAAATAAAAAAGCATACCCTTATCCCTAACCTAGCTATGCTTTTCCCTATCTTATGAACAGCAGCTACACTTTCCCTCCTCTTACTAAGCATGCAGCTTGAGAATGAATCTAAAATGGATGCTGTCCAGGTAGGTGGGAGGGTCTGCTAGGGAGGCTGTGCTGCTAATTGGCTGGAATGTGTCTGCTGACTGTGAGGTACAGGGTCAAAGTTTACTCAATGATGACGAATAGGGGGCGTGTCGAACCGCGCATATGTTCGCCCGCCGTGGCGAACGCGAACATGCTATGTTCGCCAGGAACCGTTCGCTGGCGAACCGTTCGGTACATCACTAGTGGTGGTTTTGTCAGAATCTCCTATAGGCCCTCTAGTGGTGAGTAGCAGAATTACTAGGCACAAATAACTACAATACAAAAAACTCTCCTATGTAAGTGTAATTGAGTGAGATCCTTTATTTACGAAGCACAGATTTCACAGCTTTTTACAAAAGGATTTGAATAACACAAAATGACTTTATTTTATTTAGATAGGATATAGTTTTAAAGTCCGTGGGCACATATCCGAATGTTCAAAAAACTATAAATTGACATCATTGTTATTTAAATGCATTTCTCATTATTGAATTGCTATAACGTTCTCTTTCAGAATTATATCTGTTACTTAAAATCCATTCAAAGCACCAGTTTTATAAAAAGAAAATATCTATTATTTGTTTTAAAACTGACAGAAATGCAGGGATTTCTGTCAGAACGATTGTGCAGAACAGCAAATTATTTGTCAAAAAAGCCAAGCTAGCTAAGAAAGTGTTTGATTTGGAGAATTCTTCCAATTCAGCTACTTTGGTCTAAATTTGTCCTTTCCCGTGCACGTTCTCCACAGTTTCCCAGTTTAGCTAATGAACGCACTAGTAATGTTTAATTGCATCTTTAAATCAAATCATGATCTAACAACCACAGACAATGGTGACTGGGGAGGTCTGCTTAATACTTACAAAAACAACCTAGATTTCGTCAGTCTGTGAGTCGGTTGGGTGGTCAGAAGACTTGGTTTTTATTCTCTCTAGAGCTCGCATGGAATTCTGGAGAATTCTAGGTTCCTTCCATATGTTGGTTTAATAACAAGTATAGTATACACTCTATAATAATTTTTGTTTTTTACCTGGCTAAGATTCAACATTGCTTTGGCTTAGGGTGCTCTTATCATTCAGATACCTTTTCTACATCCATTCACCTGACCACACAAACTGGAGAACATGAGAACATATACCATGAGTAAAAGTCTCAATATTCATCTTACTGTCCTCAATGAAGAGTTTCCAGCCTTTAAGTCCTCTATACCAGATGCATAATGTAAGGCGTTATGAAAATAGTTTGTCTACACAAACCTAAAGTAGCCTTACTAGTAGGTAAGATGCTGTTCACTCCTTTAGAATGATGTGATCTCATTGGGAGAGTGGAATTCAATGCCTGTGGTTTCTCCTTTTAAGTCAATACAATGTTACACATAATAAACGTTTGGGTAGAAGTGCTCCCCATTCAGTAACTGTAGACCAAAGTATTTAATTGAATCAATTATAATCTAAAATCAATAAGGTCCAATTTTTGCTGATTTATTTTCATTTTTGAGTCCTTCGTTAATTATAACCAATGCAGAACACATCTGGTTTGATGGGATTTATTACTCCTATTTTTCCTTAAATTTGCTCCCTGCTGCTTTGTTGACTGCCTCAAAGAATTTATTGCAGAGCGAGGACAAAATGACACAATCAGGAATAAGGTGATGCAGTAAATAACTCTACAAAACAAGAGAAAAAGAAATATGGTGAGTCACCTATAAAGGACCAAGGTTGTGGAGAGGATAGATTTCTGAATTTTGCCAGACCACGGACAGGGCTATTCACTAAAGTGAGGATTCAAAGAGAATTTCAAATTTAAGGTCAGAGTAGCCAAACTGAGTGCTTACCTGACTTTGAGAATTATTGCAGTTTGGCAATTTTGACCTTAAAGTTGAGTTCTTACCTGTGAGGATGGACGGTGAAGGAATGAATGTGAAAATAAAGGATTGCATACCTGGATGGAATGAGAAATGCACCCACTGGTCTGATTCACGTATCCCACCGTATTAAGCGCTTCTTGGGCAAAACTCTCTGGTGTCTTCACAAAGCGATTAGTCTTTATATTATGTGTCATGTTAGTGGAAACCAGGAGAGGCATGACACACTGCAAAGAGACAGATGGACACAGTCACAAGTGAGCTTTCAACTGGTTTTCTTGCCTTATGGCGAGATCTCAGATTGTACTCTCTCAGTCTGAGACTTCTAACCAAGAGTAATGTTATGTTTATTCCACCAGACAGTCTTTTTGTAAGAAAGAAACAACAGTGTTTTTAAAATTCTCAGAACGACATTAAGATAAAGCAACAGTGACCCTGTTTCATTGGGGAGCTCAGATTTATAGCGGAGGGTATTTTGCCTTTTCTTTACAAATAGAGAAATGTCATGAGCTTCCACGTGTATTATATTTCCAGTCTCAACCGTCATTTATATAAAAAAAAATATAGAATGTGATGGCACATAAGAACCATTTGTCTCATCTAGTCTGCCCAATTTTCTAAATACTTCCATTAGTCCCTGGCCTTATCTTATAGTTAGGATAGCCTTATGCCTATCCCACGCATGCTTAAACTCCTTTACTGTGTTAACCTCTACCACTTCAGCTGGAAGGCTATTCCATGTATCCACTACCCTCTCAGTAAAGTAATACTTCCTGATATTATTTTTAAACCTTTGCCACTATAATTTAAGACTATGCCCTCTTGTTTTGTGAGTTTTTCTTCTTTTAAATATAATCTCCTCATTTACTGTGTTGATTCCCTTTAAGTATTCAAATGTTTCTATCACATCCCCCTTGTCTTGTCTTTCCTCCAAAGAGGTTAAGTTCCTTTAACCTTTCCTTGTAAGTTTTATCCTGCAATCCATAAACCAGTTTAGTAGCCCTACTATGAACCCATTCCAAAGTATCAATATCCCTCTGAAGATCCTGTCTCCAGTACTGCGTACAATACTCCAAGTGAGGTCTCACCAATGTTCCGTCACTTGTCTCTTTCTATTGCGAATGCCTCTCCCTATACAACCAAGCATTCTGCTAGCATTTCCTGCTGCTCTATTACATTGCCTGCCTACCTTTAAGTCATCTGAAATAATTACCCCTAAATCCCTTTCCTCAGATGTTGAGGTTAGGACTCTATCAAATATTCTATACTCTGCTCTTGGGTTTTTACATCCAAGATGCATTATCTTGCACTTATCCACATTAAATGTCAGTTGCCACATCTCTGACCATTTTTCTAGTTTACCAAAATCATTTGCCATTTGGCTTATCCCTCCTGGAGCATCAACCCTGTTACATATCTTATCATCAGCAAAAAGACATACCTTACCATCAAGACCTTCTGCAATATCACTAATAAAATTATTAAAGAGAATGGGTCCAAGTACAGATCCCCGAGGTACCTTACTGGTAACTAGACCTTTCTTGTAATATACTCCGTTCACTACAACCCTCAGTTGCCTGTCATTCAGCCACTACCTCACCCATTCAAAAATATTGGAATCCAAACTTAAAGATTGCAGTTTATTGATGAGCCTTCTATGTGGAACAGTGTCAAAAGCCTTACTGAAATCTAGGTAAGCAATGTCTACTGCACCACCCTGATCTATTATTTTAGTTACCAAATAAAGCCCTGAAGCAAACCCATGTTGTCTCTGATCTTGAAATCCATGTGATTTTAGATGTTCAACAATCCTATCCTTTAATATGATTTCCATTACTTTCCACACTACTGAAGTAAGGCTTACTGGTCTATAGTTTCCCCACTCCTCCATACTACCTTTCTTGTGAATGGGCACAACATTGGCTAATTTCCTATTTTTTGGGACTACTCCTGTTAATGATTGGTTAAATAAATCCGTAAATGGTTTTGCTAGTACATCACTAAGTTCTTTAAATAACTTTGGGTGACCCCCATCAGGCCCCATCAACTTATTTGTCTTTACTTTTGTAACGGATCGCCTGGCACCCCGACTGGGTACCTCCGTTGAAGGATGCTCCTAGCGCTTCCTGAGGACTCCAAGCACTGCAGCAGACACCACAACCACCGAACTGGAGAAGCATATGAATCCTGTAGACAGTTGAATAGGAACCATACGAATAGGTTTACTCTCCTAGCAGTCAAACTGGAACAGCATACAATAAATCCTTCCCCCAATAATGAGACGACACTTCACTTTGAGGGTTAAAACAGGAACTCCCTGTGCTGTCACATACAGTCTCTTTTATTCCCAATCCACAAACATAGTACAGCCCACAGGGCGTTACAAAACAACCAATCACATCACAGTTACATCCCACATATTCCCTCCCCTTATCCTGAGAGGAAACTCAATTATACATACAGTTAAAACATACTTTCTACCCAACTTTCATAACTCTAAAACCATACATCACATTCACATGAAATTACATATGCACAATCAATCCATTCAGGGGAACAACATATTCAAAAATGGCACAAATCAGACAAGGGGTTCAAAAGTTAGTAAAAAGTCCTTTGTGACTAAATGAAGCATAGCTTTCTGGCCCAAACCAGTTTCAGAGTCTTCTATCCTGGAGATAAGTAATTCAATTATCTCCCAGGACAGACACAAGACTCCATTAAGCACATGGTTGCAAAAGACACAAAACACTTTAAAATACATAAAGTCACATTTTACACATAACACACAGACATTTCACATATCCCCAGATTATTAAGTGAATGGCGCTCGGACCACACAAATACAGTTTAATCGCCATGGAACCAAAGTCTTTACAGTCAGTTTCATACGAATGGGCTCCATGGGATTCCTATCTGGGGTATAACACATTCACATAAGGTCTGGTCCATAGTCCAAAGGCAAGAGGCGGGCAAGCAGCCCCCTCCAAGGACACGTGGCGAGGGCGGTTTCGCCACATTTCTCCCCTTTACCATCCAAACTAACAGGGTATCTGACATCCTGCCGGTCAGTGCCCTGGTTAGTCCAGCAACCCACCCACGAAGCACAAACAGCAATACAGCCCACCCACAATAACTGGTTACTACACCTGGATAAAATAGCAACTTGTCCATGTCCAGGTGCCTCACCACGGCTGTGCGGGGGGCTGTTAGACTGCCTTGGTGGGTTGCTGAGTGGGCAGAGACCAGCGGTACTCTGCCCGGGTGCCAGCGCTACCACTGAAGTAACCTGGTTGGAGCCTGGTTGTGGGAGGGGGAGACCGACTGTCTCCCCTCTGGATACACTGCTCTGTGGCTGGGGGACAGTACCGACTGTCCCTACCCCTGGTGCTGCAAGTGCAGAGACTACGGTCCCATCTGCATAGTTGTGGGGCTTAACATCTCCCCTTGGTGGGTTAGGCTGCCGCTGGAGAGAGGGTGTAACAAGCTCCTCTCTCTGAACTGTAGACAGCCGCTGGGGAGAGGGGGTAACCTGCTCCTCTCCCTGACACTCTCTTTGCTGGTGGAGGGGGGACCAACTGTCTCCCCTTTCAATATTTTGTCCTGCGGCTGGGGTGAAAGACAGACTGTCTCCGCTTCCTGCAGGACACACTGCCGCTGGGGAGGAAGGACTGCACCTTCCGTTCCCTGGGAAAAAGACTGCCGCTGGGGAGGAAGGACTGCACCTTTGGCTCCCTGGAACTCACACTGTTGCTGGGGAGGAAGGATAGCACCTTCGGCTCCCTGGAACTCACACTGCCGCTGGGGAGGAAGGACAGCACCTTCAGCTCCCTGTGATACATACTGCCGCTGGAGATCTGGGCCGACCGCCCAGCATCCCTGTAGGGCCGGTAGAGAGACCGCCATCCCATCTCCACCTGCCATTTGTGGGTCTTCCCAGGACCAGTCTATGAGGTCCCCTACTTCTGCAGCTGGTAGTGAAGCAGGGGGTACCTCGGCTGCGTTTTCCCAGCTGTAGGTTGGCAGGTCTGGGTCCCCCAGCCAGTTTTCCTGTTCTGTGTCCATGCCCTGTGGCTGACATGAGTTTAGTAGTTCCACATAGTCCATCTCTAGCTGTCGTACCATGGCAGCCAAACGGTGGAGGTCTTGTCCCAGTCCCATAGATCTCGGGCCCTGTACCATCTCACCTCGGTAATAAAAGATAGCCCAGTACCGTGACTCTGCTGGACTGCCAAAGTCGACGTCTTCTGCTAAGGCCTTCCACAACAGGCCAGGGCTAGTGTAGTTCTCCCCCTCCGGCTGGATGCCCTCTGCCCTCCACGTCTCTGGCTGGACAGTGCACCACCACAGTGCCCGGTATGAGGTGTCAAGGCTCAGTTCCCTTTCCACGAGGTACTCAAGTTGTCTGACCTGCTAACCCTCCGGGTTGGTCTCCCAGAAGCGGCATCCGCCAGGCCATTTGTTCCTCCAACCGGTATGCGACACCAGGAAGGCGCTGCTGCCGTTGATACTGGACTTCCTCCAGGGCATCGTACCATAGTTCTTGCCGGGCAATATCTCTCCATTCCAATTCCCTCTCTTCCTCAGGTGTGCGTGTTGCCCAAGGATCCACGAACCCCATTTTCCCAAATCTTTATGTAG